AAAAATGTGGCAGTTTAACTCATATCAAATTTGTCTCTTCACAATATGATATGTAACATTTTTCATGCAAGCGGACAAAAGATTATCGTTAAAAACTCAAAATGAAAATTTAAATGAGAACTTTAAAATTTAGTTAATTCAATATTTACGTTAGTTTCACGAGACAATCTTCAACTTTTTTATGACATAACAAAAAAAAATTTAAGTATTATAAAGGTGGAAATTATAAATTTCAAAAAAAAATGAGTCATATACATGCATCATGAGGTGAATTTTAAGTTTTTGAAGTCCCTGAGAAGCATGAAAATGTATCAAGTGCACATGCAAGTATACAATATAGGTGCACTAAAAATTATGAATGAAAGTCAGATCTCTTGAAACTAAAATGTTCTCATTTGCTCTGATAAATGTGATAATGTCTGGGAATACCACATGATAAAAGAAAAATTAATAAAAAATAAAAAGTTAAAGATATCACTCTAAGAAGTGCTTAAACATTTTAAAGTTGTACAACTGATTTTAAATTTAAAATATCCTTTGAAAGATCAAAATATCAAAATATGTTCTAAAAAAATAGGCCAAATGCTTGAACTGAACATTCTAGAATGCTATGCAAATTGAAAGTAATGTTAATACAAACTATGCATTGAGAAGTATGTAGTTTCCTCAATAAGGATATAATTACCTTAAGAACATGTAATTACTTTGAGAATCATACCATAGCTCTTAAAAAATATGCAAATACATTAGGTAAAGACATTCATGTACACGATGTAAATGTATTGTAAATCATATAAGTATAATATGTAGGTGCTCCAAAAAGAACATATGTACTTTAAAAAATTGATGAATTTACTATTAAGTATAAATTTTGTAATGTTTCTTACCATTAAATTTAATAAAAATGTGATATTTTAATTAATATTGTGCAAGAAATTCCCAGTAAATGGAGAAAAAATTCTCAAGTTTTGAACTAGCAACGCATTTACGCCTTGGTGCCAGATCAAGGAATTACAGCGCCAGAGTCTCAAGAAAAATGACAAATAATTAAGTTCCCCAATGGAGCCAAAGTCAACCCAGCAACCCTTTATAGCTCCGCAACATCAGAAATCTACGTTGTAGCACTTAAGTCTCAAGAATTTAAGCATCATAGCTCTAAGCATTAAAACATTGTAGAACCGAATTACACATTAAAGCATCATAGTTCTCAACTTTTATAGTGTCTTAGCAGAGCATTTGATGAAAGACGGAGCCAATAAAATTTAGTTGAGTGGTTTAGCCAACATACATGCCGAGTCAGTGCAATGTATAATGGAGAAAGCTCAATAATTTTGAGGTGCTAGTTCATTTAGTAATGCCACAGTGCCACTATATCAAGTGTCACTATCCTTGGTTCCATTTCTACACTTACTGTAAAATAGTTTTTCATTTTTTTTGTTTACGAATTCTATCATTTTTTGTAGAGTTATATGATTTTCAATGTGTTTCCTTAGTGCCCCCCATAAAGTAAAGTTTAAGGGAGGCTTAAGAAGTTTAAGACACTTCAATGGAGACCTTTCTTGTGTAAGCAATCCTACCATTAGAGGAGGAAGGAGTGTGGAGAAGTTTGTTTGTATTATCCTGGTTAAATTTTTCCTTATTTTTTCTCATGTATCTTTTCTTATATGATTAAAATGAAGATACATTTGATTTTTATTTTATTTAGGATTGGCTAATTTTTATGTTCTTGACTAATCATTTGAACACAATGTTAAGAACTAATATAGACTCTTGTACCATAAATGAATTATGGATATCTCTCATTTTTAATTTAATGCATAAAATAATCATGTGAATAGTTAAAATCCAGTGGGATATATTGCCTCAATTGTGGAATATTGAAATAAATAGGGGTATTGAAATGGAGTATTGGCATGCCTAGACATAGGATGTTTAATCTTCTAGGTTTTAATGAGACATTAGAATTATAAGAAGGCCATAAACCTCGTTTCTCACCCTACAAGCTCGATTGAGATCTAAGGATGATATGCTCTAATCAACATTAATAATTAAGAGTCTCATTAGAAAAACTTTATTATTTTATAGTAATTAGGCCAAAATGTATTTTATATATTGGTGTCTCAATATTTTTTACATTCTTTATATTTGGCAGAAACCTAAAACCTATAATTTTTGTTTGGTAGGATACACCTTGCATCTGTAATAGGCAATACTAATTTGACTATAATAATAATAAAAAATAATCATGGGATCGACACTGTCTCAATCACTTTATTACTTGATCGACACATATATTAAGAAAAGCCTAAGCATTAATTGACCCCAAAGGATATTCTATTTCATACACGCATTAAGCTATTTATGCCCATGCTCACATTACACACTATGGAAATACACCAAAAAACTAACAAATGCACCACATAAATGTACCAAAAAGCTTGTATAGTATTTAAAAGAGAAAGTAAAATATTCGTATGTGCACAAATAAGCATTTTAAATAATCAAGCATAAAATCTTAGAACTTTCCATGGGTTTAGAAGTTAAACTAAAAATTCTTGGTTTTTGAATTTTTGTATTTTAAAATTTGCAACAACATTTTCTTAAAATTAAACCCAACCACATATGCTCTGACCAAATTTACCAAGCATCAAAATTAGAGGTTCAATAATGATACATATGTTAAAAATAAGAAATTAATTTAAACATTATTTATCTAAAAAAAAATTAAACTCCAAATAGTGACTATTTGAAAATGAATATATGATTTCAAAACCCATGAAATTATTTTGCTTTAAGTTTTCATTAAAGCTTCTACGCCTTTTGCAAATTAAATTCGATCAAATTTCCCAAGATCACCACCAAAATGGTAGCTCATAAATAGACACTCAAATTCATTCCTTTATTTGCAAGTTCACATGATTGATAAGTTTCATTTCTAAAATAAAATATTTAAATATCCGTATGATAGTTGTGTTGAAAATAAATCTCAATCAGATGAGATTTTAAAAAATACCCACAAATCCTCTTATAAACTATTTTGGGCTTAAACCCAAGTAAAATACGAGAAAAAAAAAAACTTTACAAAATACAAAATATTAAAATGAAATCTACTTCTAATAATTTAAAGTTAATTTCATATATCATTTGTAATCATTTATTAAGGGTCATTGACTCAAGAATAACTTCACCACATAAAGCAAATATTTTCTTAGGCATATCACTAATATTTATTCTCAAATGATTTCTCATCAATAAAGACATGGCATGTTTAACCACTAAATTAAAAAAAAAAAAAAAATGTTTAACCACTAAATGACTCCACATGTAAATAAGTATGATCAGGACCCTTTGAGCAAGTGAGTTTTCCATTAAAAATGTATCATAAAATTATGATCAAAATCAAAGCCCATAAGTTCCCACTAAATAAAAAAACCTTACATAATGAATCATAAAGTGTAGTTGATAAGGCATAAATCCCTTTATTAGCTAAGGTTGACTTGAATTTTTCCGCTTGGACAAAAATCCACCCTAAGTCTATAAGAGGCTTTTAGACAAAGTGATGGTTTACTACCCAAACTCTAATTTAGAAAGAGTTCTTTATTACATGGTTTTAATCATTAGAAGGGGGAGATTGTTGAACCCATGAGCCCAACAAGCTTTAATTAGATTTTGATGATCACAAAATATCACTAATGAAAGTGGAATGACAACCTCAATCAAATGTATGCAGGGAACAAGTGCTAGCTTCATTAGGATGATACGAGCACACGATAAACTATTAGTTTAGAAAAATAATGAGCATTCTTTGTGTAAAAGTTAAAAAAAAAAAAAATTCAGAAACACATGGCAAACAAGCAAGCAAAGTATGGTCTCCTAGTAAAATATAATATTTTAGAGTTAAATTATTTATAAAACTTTTTAGACAATCATTAATAAGGCAAATTATGACATTGATTTAAATGAGACTAAATGTACTTATAAAATAATTGCTAAATAAAATATTTTTCTTGGATTAATGAACCTTAGTTAATATTTGTGAATTGCTATAAAGCCCTTGCAGGTCTCCACAAAGGTTTTTGGAGCTCCATAAAGATACAAAGATTATATATTCTGAAAAATAGTTTTTACAGTTAACAGTAAATATTTGCTAGCCTCCATAAAAGTTTGTGGAGATTCAATTTTAGAAAAAAATTCTGAAAAAAAATTTATGATGATCTAAATTTGATTTGAGCTAATTAATAGTGAATTCTCTCAATTTTTTAAACATGCAAAGGTTGTAAACATGTGGATATTATATTTTAAATTTATTTCAAAGGCCAAATGAAGCCCTATTTTTGTCATATAAATAGATTTTTCTATACTTGAAGAGGTGTTTGGAATGAAGGCTTCATATCTTGGAAGGAGTAACTGTTTTTTTTTTATTGCAAGTTATACAAGAATTTTTAGATGTAGAGGACACCTAGGCATGAATGTAAACTATAGTCGAACCACGTAAAAATTATTACTTATTCTTATGTAATTAATGTTTGTTGCACTTTTTACTTATTTCATGATTTGGTTAATATTGTTCTAACTAACATCATATGGTATATAATGATGATATCAGTGAGTTGAGTAGTTATTTAGTTAACTTATTATTCAAATTCAAATTGTACATCTTTGTTTAGACTTCCATTGAGTTTTGTGTTAACTATTGCTCTTATAGTTGATTTATTTCATTTCCCTTTTGTTAGTTTGTTTCCAATGTGAAATAATTTTGAAAATTTTTTTGATGTAATAAAATTTTGTTTCTTATTTTAATGCTTATATGATTTTGTTTTTTTATAATTATTTATATGAGAATTTTTTTTCTCTTGAATGCAAATTTGCTTTCTTTCTTTTGGACTCTTGAGTTGAACATATGAGTTGAATTTAAGCAGAATATGATAGTAGCGAAAAAGCATTAGTCTGTGCTAACGTAAAATGAAAAAACTTGTTCTGGTGTTTGTCAGCATAGTGAATAAAGAGTAAAAAGGGAAATATTATTAGCTTGCTAGAACAAGGACTATCCAAGTCAAGGTAAACATTTTCTCATATGAAGCAAATCAAAATGTTCTTATGTAATATTCTCCTTTACAACATATTTTACTTTATTTTTCTCCGAGGTATAAGAAACCAAGCTTTGTCAGCCGCTTATTTGCTAGCTCAGAAAAATTGCTTATTATTGCACGCTGAAATATCTGAATTCAATTTACAATCGCTTCATCATATATATCGGATACTTGGTGCTTTATTCTGATTCTTCAGCTGAAACATTAACTAAACAACTCAATATATCCTTCACTTTGGCACCTTAAGAATTCACGAACAACATGCAAATTGGGGGCTTGATCTTAAGTAAGGCAAGCAAACATGAAGGAAGAACCCAAACTCCATCACCGCAGATTAAACCAGAAGCCACAGCTGGTATCATCAATGTTGCCTTCTGGTTATTAAGTTTGTGCCACACAAATACTATCACAGTTCCAATAAACATGTCGATTGCAAAATTGGCACCGACGAGAAAAGGAACTGCCATGGCCATTGGCAATGGTACCCACTTCCCTAACCTCTTTGGCAATATATCCCTCATTATGTTTGCTGCAACAGCAAAGCTGAAGAAGCCACAGCAAAGCTGCAGGCAATGTCGAGGAAGTGCTGAGAAGCCTTGGACTCCTAGTACGGCGATATTTCGATACACCAAACCATAAGGAGCCTTGAAGATTCCATCAGGGTTCCCTACATCGAAAGCCTTGTAGAATAGAAAGAATGAGAGAGGGCCAGTGATACAACCCATTGCTATTCCAATGATCTGGCTAATGAGCATTGATCGTGGGGAGGTGAGAGTGAGATGACCGGTTTTGAAATCATGCATCAGATCAGCAGACATGTACACCACGGCCTTTATTACACCACACACTACTAGACCAGCAACCACACCTGAGTCCTTTCCTGCCCAAGCTGCAATGATGAAGAGAGCTACCTTACCATAGTTGTAAGCCATGTTCATGTCTGTAAGGCCAGTTCCATAGGCATTGCAGAATCCAAGAACCGGAGCGAGGGTGTAAGCAATGATAATGTAATACCATTTAACCTGTGAAAACATGTGGGGGATGGCAATGATGGAAATTGTGGTTAATACTGCAAAGCCGGCGAATGAAACCCATGATGGCATGGTTTCTCTTGCAAACAGTTGATTTCTTTGAAGTTCATCTAGTAATAGATTATCATCTGTAGGCGCTGCAAAAGGTGGATTTGTAAACAGCTGGGAATTGGATGAGGTGCTCAAGTTTTTCCAGCTCAAGGTGTCATTTAATTTACCTGTTTTGCTTTTCTTCTGCTTGTATCTGGAAAGCATGCTACTCAACGTGATAGACATAATCTTGACGAAATTGTACAGGCCATCTCCGAGAATAAGAGCAATAGATAAGAAAACCTGAAAAGTGGTTACTTTATATCAACGGCATTGTTCATTATGAAAGTTCAACGAGAATCAAATGCGTTAGCATGCATTTATTTAGACCTTATATCCTTGCAAGCTTTTCATACTGCTTTGAGGAATGTTAGCAGGGAACCAATCCCCTTCCAGGTTCTTTATCGATGGCCACATAATTCCCCATGAAAGTACTGCTCCTAGAATTAGAGAAATGTTTACAATATGGGAGCAGATCATCCCTGCTCCAATGTAAGTCAGGCTGAAGTCAAAGAAGAATCTGCAAAGCAAATATTGCTCAAATAATTAGAACTAAAGGAATTAAACATTATGAATGAATTTTCTTGGAGAAAACGGAATCAGATCAATGAATACGTGTTCTTATAAGCTTTAAGGCCAAAAGTTGGGAACTGAGCGAAGCCACAGGCATCTCCTCCCGAGAAAAACCACTGAAAGAAGCTCCACAGAAAGCTTACTGTGAAGTACTTCATGAAACCACGCACCTGTTTCCTGAGGGTGGAGTTATCATTAAGTTTAAGGAGATATACACACATGTAAACACTGAATCTTTGGAAGAAGGTGAGGGAGAAAATACTTGGCCATTTGGTCCCCTTTGGATGTGTGGAAACCATTAATTAGAACAGCAGTTGCAGTGCCACTTGGATAAGGTAATTTGTAGTCAATGATTAGCATCTGAAAATTGAAGAAGGCCTCAAAAATTTTGCACAATTACTACAAAATTAACTGCGTGCACAGTTGTTTAATTGAAGGACAGATACAGGCAGCGTCCAACTAAAATTCTGCTTTGGATTGCTTGTTATGAACCAAGCCTACGCAAACATAATAATTTAGAAATTGGCTATGTACAAGCCTGCAGGAGATTTTTTGGTATTTTAGTTCAGCGAAAAAATTCCTGCACATTTGGTTAGAACTATTAAGCAGCAGGGTCTTGTTTTAGAACCATGTTCGTATTAATATGGAACAATATACAGAAGAAAGTGAGCATCGGATCGGTTCAAATGAATAGATAGATGGATTTATTAAACAATCGACTCAAATCATAAGTAAAAGTGAACAAACAAAATTATTGCTATAGCTGAATCAAACTGAACCGTAATAAAATTTTATTTATTCATTTTGGTTTTGGTTTAACCAGATTTTGAAATCTTAATAAAATGAGGAAATTTTAAACTATTATCTAAACAGAATATGAATAATAAAGTTTATTTAAATATAGAGTACTTAAAATAAATGAGTTTTTATTTAGAAAACTTTTTGGTTTTTTGGTTGAACAAAGGTTTTTTATTTTAAAATCGAATCATTAGCATTAACACAATTGTTGACCTCTGAACAAAAACCATCTTATCTACAAACCCATCTGCCTTCCAAAATTTACCCCGGAACTTAGTTCGTTAAAACTCCCTCGCCGAATAAGAAAAGCGAGTGGAGGCCGAGGTCGAATTTTCGGAGCCCACAACAATGTATTAAAAGATTTATGTCATTATTTTTTCAACAAATTTTAAACTAGTTGTCGATTACCTACCTAATGCAGCCTTCTATTTTTCTTATTCGGGTCTTGGGACCCGGCAATCAACCATTAGGCTTAATCCAAATAACGGTAACTCTTAAATAAAAAATCCAACAAGCCTTAATAAACTGAACCATATCAACCGAATATGTTCGATTTGAAACGATTTTTATGTTTAAACCAACTAATGGACACTCAGTAAAATATTGACCAAAGTGCTACAAAAGATTTTACTTGCACTTACATTAAAATTACCCCTTAACTAAAGATCTTTGGAGCAAAAGAACAGAGTGAAATAAAACTTTGACAGCTGCAGGCTATTAAATCTCATTACAGGTTCTAAGTTGCAGAAAATTAACTGAGATTTCTTTTAAGTTTTATTTTCCAAATTAATTCCAAGATGTTCTTGAATTGATTCTTCAAAAAAGAGAGAAAACAAACACAATTTTAACAGGTGCCAGATCAAAGACAATATCCGCAGCAGTTCAAAAAAGAAATTGAAATCTTGCTGATATGGATCCATGAAGTCTGAATATCAGCTAGCTGAGTTGATCAAAATGGTAAAAAATTATTGACAAGAATCTAAAAATCGAATCCTACCTACATCAAAGTTATGCTTCGGCACTCAACATTCACCAAAAAAAAAAGAAAGAACATTGTGCTTTAGATAGATGAACTTGCTCATGTCATCTGAAGTAAACTGAATACCTTCCTGAGTGGAACCAAAATAAAGATCCCGACAAAGCTAACAGTAAATGAAAACCCAGTCATCCAACCAATCCCAGGCTCCTTGTAGCTCCCTGCCATGTTTCCATCCACACCAACCCCTGCTTCTTCATAAATTTTCTTGCTCAGCCCCAACAAATAAGACCCATACCCACCTGCACAAACCAACAAATCCAATAGAAAAACTTTGTCAGAGAAAACATAGAACAGAGAGTTAACATCAATATTCTGATATTACAAAGAACAAAGCTTTTGGATTAGAACCTCCGTAAGCAATGGTGTATGCAGCCACAGCACAGGTCTGAGCCACGGTGCTCTCCTGACAAGTGAGCGGCTTCGACATGATGCCAGCTTTTCCAAGGACTTTGGTCCAGGTTCTGAGGAGGACGAAGGTAAGGAGAGCAGCTGACACATTCAACGTCGGCACGAGACCAGTGGTGAGGTTAAGCTTCATCACAATAACGCTGTATAAGCTCCCAATTGCGAAGCTGACGACTATGCCTCGCAGTGTAAGTTGCTCCCTCCAATGAGGAGTTTGTTTAAGATCTGAGGTCACAGCCTCCATAGCCTCTTCCAAGTCCTCTCCTTTATTGATCTCCCGAATCTCCTTGGTATCAGCCATATTAGTGCGAGCAATCCGGGCAGTATCCTTTATCTTCCTTATAAAAGCTCGCAGATGCTATACTTTCAGCCACAAATATACTATCTTCTGTACCAATTTCATTACTTGGGAGAAAATCTTACCTGGGTTTCCCGCTTTCAAGCAGACAGCCAAGTATGTGGCATGCTCCTCCTCCCTCTCTTCCTCTTCTACTTATCCAACAAGAACCGAACTTTGCCAATGTGATTTGGAAATTCTTCGATTAAACAGTACTTGGGATTAGAGATGTACTGCGGATAGTACCAAGTGCGAACAAATGCAGTACAAATGTTGAGTAAAGTTTCCAAACAGTTTATCTCCACCAGGGCCACTGCCACTCTCTTCTCCGGCTAGCCGCACTATCGACTTCCTTCTATTGGTGAAGTGGGTGACGAAAACGGGGAGATAAATAATGGAGTAGAATCTCCAAAGGTGAGTAAAGAAAGGAGGGGCGTGTGGCTCAGCCCGGCATCAAATAACAGATGCCTTTTGTGTGCTCAGGATTGGTCGAAAGGGAGATGATAAAGTTGGCGAAGAGAAAAGAAAGTATACCCGTCGTTGCTTTTTGGAACGATCCATGCTTGAGAATCTTGACTAATGGTCAGAAGGCGTCTGGAACTTGTTTAGGCATAAAAATTATGGTAGCAGTTTAGTGGGAAATTAAAAAAAGAGTGGATGTTTTTTTGGGAAGAATTAGGGAAAGTGGAATGAATTTTTTATTTTATGGCTTATTAGCCTTATTTTTAGTTTCTCTCGCTTTAGTGTCAGGCTTTGGGTGCAGGGAGTGTGACGGGAAAAAAATATTAGGTAAGGAGTGCAGATGGGGAGCACTGTCTGCACACATATAGGGTATCAAGCGGTACCTAGTGGTACCCAGCGGTACCGAATGGTACCTAGCTGGATTTTATACTAATGTGCGGACGGTTCTCCTCGTCTGCACTCCGCACCTAATAATTTCTCGTGACGGGGGCTTTAAAAGGTGAATTGGTATGATTGAGGGGCACAAATTATCATGGAAACTTCACCTCTTATATTGCTGAATTTTGGATGACTGATATTTATGAATAACGCGTGCGTTTTCATCCATTGATAAAATTATTTAGACAAATTTTTAAATGAAGTGTAAGGATAATAATTATTATTAAAAGTAGTTAATATTTAGACAAAAAATAATTGTTCTGAAAAGAACTTACATTTGACTAAATATTCGCATCATCTTGTTATAACCAAATAGTGAATATTATCCACGTCAAAAAATATAGAAATGCTAAAGATAATGAATCTTGGGGGATTGAACTTAACTTATACGTATTTCTAATTTTTTTTTTTTTCAATTAAAGAATTTTGTTTGGGAGCTAATGGGTGATCAAAATTGAGTCAAATTTAATTAATGCTTCTAACCAATTTAGTTTCAAATATGATTCGTTCGCTTGAATAGTTGATAAGAAAGACTTTCCTTATCATAAATTTCTATTGACGTAACACACAATTTGCTTGAGAATAAAATATTTTGTAAACTTCATCATATTTTATTTAGCAAATTAGAAAAATGTTAAGGATTTGTTCGAAGGTCCTTAAGACTAAAAATCGTATCCAATTGATGTCTCAGTTGATTCTATTTTTTGATGGTGAACTGCAAACTGTGGAGGATTTCACACCGTTGTATGTTGGCGGAAGGAATCACCCTCTACAAGTAGAACAATTATTACGTCCTCCGACCGGACGTAGAGGAACGTCCGGTCGGAGGCCAAATCGCGCAAAAAAAAAAACGAGAAATACCGAGCAATACCAAATAATAACGAGGAATACCATCACGTGAAGACCCAATACCGAGTTATACCGAGCTATACCGAGCAATACCGAGTTGTACAAAAGTTGTATCGAGTTTTTCCTAGAAAAAACTCGGTACAACTCGGTATTGCACGGTATAGCTCGGTATAACTCAGTATTCATCTTCACAGAGCGGTATTCCTCGTTATTATTAAATAATACCTAGTAATACCGAACAAATACCGAGTTTTTTGGCGGGATTTTGCCTCCTACTGGACGTTCCTCTACGTCCTTACACCGGACCTAATAAAAGTTCCTACAAGTAAAGGAGATACTTGCACTATATAAATTTAAACTTTAAATCACTTGTGCTTTATTTTTTAGTGGCTCTACACATTTAATCTTGTTTGTCACTGTCTCAATCATCATAGAAGTGGGCTCCGATAATTTGTGCTCCGGCCTCTCCATGACCCCCTTTCTTTATTTTCAGGTCATTCAAGAGAGTTTTAACAGTTCCATGGGAAATTTCTAGAAGGAAAATTGAGTTTGAAATATGACACTACCCAGAGATTTCGCCCTCATTTTGCTAGGACTTTATGATCAGAATTATGGTTTCCTATAAGCGTAAGCCCCTATAGTTAATTACCCGTCACAGTGACAAGAGAAAACTTTTTATTAAGGCTAGTCGTCGAATAGATATGTAGATATACATGGCATTTGGTGTATAGTAGCAACATGCGTTGGTATTTGGAACTTTGATATTTAAAATTGAAAATTCACCTCCTTGTACTTCAAGAGAATGGTGGGAGAAGTGATGATAGACACGATCAAGATATCATGGTTTCATTATCCCGGGTCATCATGGTCCCTGGTCTACTTAATCAGACGAGGTAGTCGACCCAACCTGACAGAAGGATCCTTGTCGGCAACCATGGGTTGCTTCGTCTAAGGGTACCTTATATACTTGGGATGAATGCTTGTTTAAGGGCACAAATCTGAATCCATCTTAGCTAATAGAGGGCTTTATGCCTTATCGATTATATACTATTGATTCATATCTAAAAGATTTGAAGCCATTGGGGAGCATACAAGCTCTGACAATGACCATGACTTTAATTTAGTTGTGCCATTCGGCAGTAAAACCTAATGGTTTAGAGGATCCCGACTGTAAAATTTTACCTGCGGTGCCATTTGGTGGTGTAACCACCAATTATAAGATATTTTCCATGTCTTTACTAGCAAGAGACTGTTTTAGTATGAATCGTAGTGATAATCTCTACTAAACATTGGCTCTTTGTGAGATGAAAAATTTTCTAAATTTGTCCACCTCGATAAATTGTTGTTGAAGGTGAATAGATTTTGCTATAAATATTTTGGTGATTTATTTCAATTTTTAAAATTTTGATTTTTGATATTTTTTATATTGAATTTTATGGGAATTTGTGATGCACTTTTTTTTTTGTTTGTGATCCCCTCCGATTGAGATTTTCTATCAACACAGTCATCATCAGGGTATATTTATATGTGATTTTATTTTGTTGCTTTATGCTTTTTTTAGTGAATTTTTTTAATAGACCTTGATAGTTTAATATGAATGTATGAAATAAATATTTTAGTCAATGGCATGACTACATTTTTTCTGATGGTTTGAACCCATTTTGACTCCTATTTACTCGCATTGGTGGATTGAGCATGAAATTAAATTTATTAGTTGACCCATACAGCATCTTCTGATATCATGTTTGTGCATACTACATCCTCGCCAGACCCATGTGGGTTTATACTTGTGTATACATTTAACAATAAGTTTTTATGTGGCGATGGTATGAATGCAGAGTAATATATCTGCATGTATGCACATATGATGCATTTTGTATTTAGACGTTGTTTAGTTACAGTGTATGATATTTTACATATTACATTGTAGATTAATATAGTAGTATATGATATGCATATATGTGCCCTTTTGCATTTGCGCATTTGTTTACATAATGCATTTACATGATGATCCAGTACTTTATTATAATGTATGAAGTATTTGCATGATGTGTATGTAAAATATGCAAGTACATTAACAATTGTCCATACATATCTACATGCAAATTTAGTGTTTGAATGATGCATTTATATGTTGCAATATGCAAATACATGATGCTCTTTGTATTTTGCAACGTGTACATGCATAATGTGAGGGAATGAGTGCATATTTCAATACATGTGGTATTTCTTTAATATGGAAATATGCTTAATGATGCATATGATTGTCATATTTAGAAAATACATGAGCTTCCTCGAAGATCCTGTGAACACCTTTTATCCGTTTGTATGAATGTTGTAGATTCGGTGGCATGACACAATGCTATAGATTATTTGCCACTATATACAGATGTTTGCATTCATCACAAGGTTTTTGTACTTGCTTGTAAATGGCTTATTAAGTGCATGAAGGATCTCTCACATAGCTCGTAGGTACTTGTATTTGTTGTAGTCCCACATATGCTGTGATTTCTTTACTTATAATTCCTGTTGTTATTTACAAGCGAGCTAATGCGTCCATTTGATGTTGACTGCAAGTCAAGTCACATCCCTCAACAATCCCTTCATGTGTTCTTGCTGGTGAACTAATACTTTCTCCTGTATGTTTGCCATTACCCACAGGTGGCTACTATGCATATCACAAGTGCCCATACTCAAGCTGTCATGTGTGCTGCAAAGTTTTTATGTAGGAGTAGTTTGTAGGAGTTCTTTTTTGTTACAAATACTCGATCTTTATTTGTGGACATCGTGTCATATGTATATCTATGTTTATAAGGGATCATATCACATGTACGGTATATCTACCACTATTATCCCATCAATAAATAATATGTGCCTTCTATTTGCAGATGTTCAAATTTACTAAAGTTCTTAGTATGTGCCTTCTGTTTGCAGATGTTCACATCTCTTAAAGTTCTTTTATACTTGCGAGTAGATTGCATGTTATGTGTACTTATATTAATAGGTTGTTTATCACACTTGTAGCATATATATTATTCTTGCTTACATGTGGGTTGCCATCTGCATATGTATTGATTGCAAGGATAATGCGTCATTCGCTGCATGTTATTTGCATATGTTTGTAGGCAGAGTTATTGTTCGCAAGCTAGTTGGTATCATGTCAACGTCTCTTGCAAATTCCTGGTACATACTTGTGAGGAAATCACTAATCTTGTACCAAGCCTAAAGTTGTCATTCATAGGTGACTCGATTTATTGGTTTGCAAATTAATTGAGGTTAATTGTTGATGGGTTGTATTCATCTAGCTTAAGTGCTACTATAGAGTCAATTGAGAGGTTATGGGTGGGGTGCAGCTTGAAGGCTGTTGTGTTGAGGTAGAGTTGGTTGGATGGAAGAGTAGGAGGAAGGTAAGTTACTTTGGATAGATTTGTGGTAGAGAAGGATTATTTGTTGTGGAGTTAGGAATGGCTAGGTGTAAAGCAGACATGGAAGTTTGCAAGCAAGGATGGATTGGAGAGATTTGGTTAGGGTCAAGACGTTCGACAATGAAGATAAGAACTGTTACAACTTAGGAATTAAGATTATGATTTTTTATGATAACAAAATATTATGTTCCATATTATATGGTTTCCCCTAACATATATTGAATATGACTATATGTTTTTGTGTGTAATAACATTCTAGGAACACTAAATTACTGAAGACTTCAAGACAAGTTAG